TAATACACTAATTCTGTGTTGTTCTAAGCCACTAAAGTTAGGGTAACTTGTTATAGCATCAATAGAAAACAAATACAGAGATGGAATGGCTAGTTCTGTGGAGTAAACTAAAAAATTCCCGAATCAAAATTTAGAATTTAATATTTGAAAAAAGAAATTTGCCAACCAATTGTGTGTGTGTGTGTGTGTGTGTGTGTGTGTGTGTGTGTCTGTGTGTGCAAGCAATGGATTATTCAATAAAGTGATATTGGGACAACTGGAAAACTATTTTAAAAAAATTAAGCAGGATCCCTATTTCCTTACACCAGAATTATTTCCAGATGAGTCATTGAGTTAAGTATTAAAAAAAATTCTAGAAGAAAATAAGTTTTTTACTTTTGTTGTCATTGTTTATTTCGGATTGAGGAATATACAAAACCTAGAAATGATAAAGAAGAGGTGGATAACAGTAACTCATACATAGTCTGTGGGAGCAATTGGTAATCAAGTCTGTAACATTATCAAAATTAAACATGCCCATACCCCTCACACCAGCAATTGTATTTCCAAAAACTTATCTCAAATAAATGCTTATTTAATATACAAAGCTTTGTGATGAAAATGTTCTTTACAGCATGGTATGCCATAGCAGAGAACTAGAAATGGCCTAAAATGCCCATTTATTAGAGAAGATTAAATACACTTCTTAGAAAGATACAGCCCTTAGAAAGAATGACATATATCCATATGTCCTATTAAGGACATTTGTAAGTGGAATATAGTATGCATGGAAAACATACTGATTGTATGCAGAAAGATAAAGATATAGACTAAGCTTACAGATACAGAGAAAATTCTGGAAGTATACACTGAAGAAGCTGTTAATAGTGCTTGACTTTGGAGAGTGGAACTGGAAATAGGAGGAAGTGTTTGATTTAAAAAATTTTACATTTTTCTGTATAGTTCTTGATCCTAGGGATTGCTAAGTTGGGTCTTCTACTGCTATAGAAAGGAAGGAAGGAAGGAAGGAAAGAAAAGAAAAAGAGAGGGAGGGAGAGAGAAAGGAAGGAAGGAAAAAAAGGAAGGAAGAAAGGGAAAGACAGAGGGAGACGTAGGGACGTAGGGAGGGAGGCAGAAAGGAGTGAAGAAAGGAAAAAAGTAAAAGGAAGAATTGTGGACAAGTAAAGGGGAAGAGGGCCCTGTTGACAGGGTGACCAGTCTGGGCCACCTGCCTCAGAGATACACGTTATGTAATTTTAAAAAATAAATATATATTTTTAAAAAGTATATTTATAAATAACAAGTTTCTACTGTATAGCACAGGGAATTATATTCAATATCTTATAGTAACCTATAATGAAAAAGAATATGAAAACGAATACATGTATGTATATGAATGACTGAACTATTATGCTGTACACCAGAAATTGACACAACATTGTAAACTGACTATGCTTCAATTAAAAAAATAAAATAAAATAAAAACATACTCATAGCAGCTTAAAAGAAGCCCAAGCCACACAATTCTAAATTTCTTGGGAAAATGTATGACATTTCTTTAAAGGTTTAAATCTAAATTTGTTTTGTTTTGCTTTGCTTTAAGTTATGCCTGAAGATTCCAGACAGGTGAAAAGATGAAATTCCCACTTAATTATCCAGCTAAGGCATACAAATATCTAATTAAGGTCACATGTCAGAGATCAGGTATTTGAAAGCCTGTGTACCTTGTACGTCCCACTCACCAGCTTAGGCAACAAAATCAAGTCACTTTAAGTCATGAGTTTTTCAGTGTTAAAATTCATACCACTCTGAGTACCACCCAGCAAGCTGAGTCCAGTTTTCCCTTGGAGTTCTTCTCCTTATGTATCCCTAGTGATCCAAGGGCTTATCACTTCCTCCAAAGGGGTCCTCCCAAGTTGCTGATGAGGGGGCGGGGGAGAAGGGCGGTGGCTGGTCAGTTGGCCACAATGCCTGATGAAAGTTCCTTCTCTGCTGCCTTACGGCTGCCAGAGGTCACTGCCAAAGCCCAGGCAGTCTGGCTTGGCTGCACAAGCTAGAACAAAGGCCTATTCCTTTCCTGCTATAGCTACCCAGGGTTGGGAGTCAATTAAACAATGCAAGGCCAGTCCTTCTCTGCCAATACCCTCCAAGTGTGGACACAACCCTTGCTCTTATTCTCCCCAAGCACAGCCAAGGGCAGGCACAGACAAGGGGAAAAAATCACAGTCAGAAGCAGCGTCTGCCAATACCTAGTAATGTTTGAGACCACTTTTAAATGAAAAAAAAAATCTTGCTAACTCTCAATTAATTTAATGTTAAATTATTTAGATTCTTTCTTAATTATGTGTAAACATAAGACTAGGTATAAAGTCCTTATTCTCACATCAGTTCTACATCTATAAAACTAAAACAACTTTGCACATGAAGTTAACAAAATTAAAAATTCAATTCATGTTAGGTACGTAATGTAGATGATGTTGTTTTGCTGAAATTAAATTTCCCCCTGTGATGAGAATATGGAACTCTCCGCTGTGGTACAGGCTTTTTAAAGCACGCTTTTAATGGACTTCATTATCCCGATATACTTCTCCATTTGAATTTTTGTGAAACTTTTGTACAGTGTGCCATGAGGATGCTTGACCTTCACCTGGCTAGAATGCTGTCATCTCTACAAGAGGTATTCTATTTTTTTTCCCATTAGCCCAAGAAAATTAAACTTATAGTTCTTGGTGCCAAATACAAAGTCAAGTGGCAGTGTTTGGTCACAAGGTGGTCATCCAAATGATCCAGAAGAGGCATATATTGATTTTTTAAGATTATAATGTAAATAAAAGCAAAAATGTACACATGTTCATAGAGAATTTGCAGTAGGTACGATGACATTTATATGAAATGCCCAGAGTAGGCAAATCCATAGAGACAGAAAGTAGATTAGTGGTTGCCAGGAGTTAGGGGGTGGAGGGAAAGGAGAGTGCTAATGAGTACGGGATTTCATTTTTGGGGTGATGAAAATGTTCTGGAATTAAGTAGTGGTGATGGCTGTACAACTTTGCAAATATACTAAAAAGCGCTATGGTATGTGAATTCTCTCTCATTTAAAAAAAAACTTCACAGTTTTCCTAAAGAATAACAGATACATATGAGGCTTACATCTGTTTACCTGAAGGACTCACCCTGTGGAGTTTCCTAAAACAAAGGGGGTCCCCCTCCAATGTTGAGACTCCAGCTGTCTTTATATTACAAGTGAAATTTCTATTTGTATAAAAGACCACCGTGGTTTAGGATGAAGGTAGGAAGAATGGGCTAAGCGGGTAGATCTGGAGACAGGAAGATTAGTCAGGGGACTAGTTACAAGGCTTTACAGGGCATCAACAAGGGCAGATTTAGACCAGACTAGTATCACTCAGAGGCAGCAATTTACCAGATTTGAAGCTGAGTGAGAGCCTGCTCTGTTTCAAGTACCTTCCTGAAATCCCACCAATTAGTTAAGATTTAAGCATTTCATTCTTTCAATAACCTTTTTTTGACACCAGGCAATGTCATTGTCATCAGGCATTTTAAGTGACACAAAAATGACTAAGACAAGATCCCTGCCCTGGAGTAGCTTATCATGTAGGAGTGGTGGTAAGACCTACACAGGAATAAGTATCATATAATAAAATATACATTGTGATGAGTAAAATATACGCTGTGATAAATGAACGTAGAAGTATCAATGTCAAAGGAAGAAGAAATCGGTGGTTGGATTGAATGTTGATAGGTGGAGATGAAGTGAAGAGCATTTCAGTAGAGGGAATAGTATGAATGAAGGCACAGAAAATGGAGAAGTAGAGGAAGGAAAGCCTGTCAGGGAAGGATGAATGAGCACTGGCTGGAATTAAGCTCTTAGCAGAAAAGTAAGTAGAAGAGCTAAAGCAGAAAAATATGGACTGACGGGTTGTCTTTTTAAAAATGAAAAAACTGAGCGGGGGTGCGAGGGAGGGAATTGCTGTCTTTCACAAATTTGTACAAATTTGCAAGGTTTCATCTTGCAAAACTCATCCTTGATTAGTAAATAGGCATTTTGTCGGCTTGGAGGGAAAGTGATTTTTGAAAGAACGTTTTATGAGGGCCGGCTCTGGTGGGGTGCTGAAGCTAAGAACAAGGAAGAGCAAAAAGGTGCCAGACGACAGGAAAGGACTCTTACAAAAATGAATGCAAAAAGGATTGTGACAGTCCCCAATTTCCTCCTCCCATCATTTCAGCTAGCACCCAGCCCGCAGGCATCTATCTCATCGCCAATAAGTTTGTACTATCAGTAAGGTGTTAGAATACACCTGGCTAATAACCCTGGCGCGGTAACACCCAATACGTATGCATGGTTGGAATGAATTTATTCAGTTTTTAAAAGCACACCGTTCCGGGCACACAGAGGCACCCAAACGTTTGTTCTATAAATGAACGTTGTTTGTTCTTTGTTTCAGAGTCTATATTTAGGAGAGGAAATGATTCAAAATTGCATCCTAAAACCTATATTCTCTTTTAGTATTGAAGTTGGGACAACCTGGGACCAAGACGTCTGGTTTTCCTTTTCAAAACTTAGGTTTTTCCCCCTCCGTCTGGTCGCTTAGGTCAGTAGGTCCAGCAAGGGGGTCGTGGTTTAAATAACCAATCGCTGCGGAGCCATGGGGTGGAGCCATGGTGCTCCGCCCCTCCTCCCGGCCCCTCTGCCAACCTACCCAGGTCCGGCCTCCCTCGCACCTGCGTGTCTCCCGGCGCTCTGGCTGGTGCAACCTCTTCCACCCTGCGCTAGCGGGGAAGGGGGCTTGGCCTCGCCTCTCGCGAGATCGCCTCCTGTTGCTGCCGCCGTCGCTCCTGGCCGCCGAGTGGCGGCGTCTGCGCAGCCGCCATGTTCGGTTGCTATGCTGTGGCCTGGGAGACGGGGTGTGCTTGAGGGAGGAGGAGGAGGAGGAGACGGGAGGAGGAGGAGGAGGGATTGAGCTCCTATTGCACTCTCACACACAAACGCTGCCCAGGATTACCCGCCCGCTCACGCCGCGCATCGCGCTTTTCCGCTCCTCGCGGCCCCCCCACATTGTTCTCTCAGGACTCCTGGGTCCCCAGGGATTGCATTCCAGGCTTGAGCCGGGCAGGGGAGAGGCTTGGCTTTGGCCAAAGGGTCGGAGGTTTGGGTCCGGGCCCCCCGTTCCGGGGTCCCCCTCCCCCACGGCACTTTTTGGGGGTGTGGATTATCTCATCCCCGCAGGGAGGTGGGAGAGCGCGCCGGCTGCCCGCCTCCCTCCCGCCTCCCTGGCGGCGCCGGCCCGCGGCAGCCCCGCAGTATGAGGTGGTGCTGGCGGCTCCGGGCCGTGGCGCGGCCGCTGCGGCGGCGGCTGCTGGAGGGGCGCTGAGGGAGCCCCCGGGAGCGGCGCGGCCGACGCGCTTCTCCCCGGCGCGCCCTGGCCTCGAGGCTTTTCTTCTCCAGCCGAGAGGACGCGGCTGTGATACGAAGGTAAGAGGCTCTCGGGTCCCCGCCGGCCTCTCGGCCCTGCATAGTCCGCGAGGCTGTTACCTGAGGCTCGTGGGGCTCGTGGGAGGCGAGCCAGGTAGGGCAAGCCATAGGTACAGGGTTGATTTCAAAGGAAGGGAAAAAAAAATGATGCTTCTTTTTTCTCTTCCTTTTCTTCGCGGGACCTCTGCTTTCCGAGGTCCGGGGGGGTTTAGAATGTGTTACGGGTGAGCGAAGGGAGAAGGGATAGAATAGGTGCGGAGATGGAATGTTCCACGGCCCTAAACTCTAGGTGAGGTTTTAGAATCTTCTGATTTTTCCACTGCTGGTAGGATTCCTTTTTTCTTTCTTTCTTTTTCTTAATTGGCTCATATGAGCGCTTCCTTCATGCTGCATGGGTATACTGTCCCTACCATTGAAGTTTTAAGCCTAGTATGATTCTGCCCGTGTATACTTGGATTTAGGAATCTGTAGTTGGGCCAAAAAAAAAAAAAAGTTGAGCTGTAGCTAAGTAGACGTACGGATGCATTTCCTAGGGTTCCCCTAAAATGAGCGGTTTACCGTTGCACACATATCTGTATGGATGGTTCTGCGAAACTTAGAATGGGACACTTTATGTCTGGGAGTCAATATGTGGGAACACCACCATGGACAAGGACGATTTGTAGGATTTTTAAGCTCTTGTTCTAGGAGAACGTGTATGTCTGCAGTATACCAACTGTTTTTAGAATCGGAGATTGGAGTAGCATTAGGTTTATGTGACCAGACAGTGGGCCCAATTTGAAACAATAACAGTTTAAAACATGTTTTAAAGAGAAAGTGGAGAAAGAAAGTATCCGATTTGTGAAAGATGACTTGAGTGAAAAGAAGACGGTGGAACAGTAGAGCCAGGGCATTTTTTACCCTGATTTTTGAACCTTAACGTGCCAGAGAAGAAAAAAATATTTTTCATTTTTTAAGGATACAGGAGAGGACCTTAAAATAAATTATTCAGAGCCCAAACTACACTTAATGGAATAGAGCTAGATATTGTATCAGTTAAATCTTGAATTTGACAAATTCATCCTATAGTTTTTTTTTTAAAAAAAGACTTTGAAAGCAAGTTTGTTTATTGTACAGAACTTATTTACTAACTCAGTAAAAGAGTGCAGTCATTTCGTGGACCCCACTATTTTTTGTCAGAATAAATTTATGCTCCAATTACCACAAAAGCTATTTTTATGTCTCTCAATCTCTCTCTCTCTCTCGCTTTTCTTTTTTAATGGCACATGTATCTTTGTTACCATTTTTCATTGAAACATGTGCCTGGTCCAACAATATCATGATCTTGAGTGGTTTATAAGAAGTAAACATGGTCTTTTTTGTACATAGGAATATTTGTGATTTAGCTAATCTGTTTTAAACATTTGGCAAGAGATTTTGGAAGCACAAAGAGCCATCATTGTTTTCTAGTTTTATTAATATTAATTGAATAGGATAAAGTTTAAGTCAGAAAATCGCAGATTCCTCAAAAGTACTAATGGATGAGGATGTGAGTTTCTTATTGCTTGTTTTCTAACCTGCTTAGATTCTGGGCTGTGGGTACTGAATTGTTTAAAATTTGTGGATGTTTTTCTCTTATTTCCTAGTTGAATATCTTAAAATGTCCTTAGTAACTTTGTTACTTTAAATTTGTGACACTCAATTTCTAATTTAGGCTAGCATAAAACCAGCATTGATTGAACACGCTTGCTAAAAATACTTTCTGGGTCAGATGTACTTAGAATGCAGCCTCAGGAAAATTCATTTGAACTATTCTGCTTTGACCAATATACACTTCATTATTATTGAAGGACTTGAAAAAATTATAGACTCACAATTAGATTTCATCAGTTCAGGCATAGAAGCCTTTATTTAATGTATAAAGTACTTTATGTAGGATAGTAATAAAAACTTTTTACATTGCTTTTTTTGCTTGTTTGTTTGTTTGTTTTTTACTTATGTGACCCCCCATAGACTTACTAAACTCTGATTTGTTTGTTCGAAGTGTTTTAGCTTTGTCTGTTAAACATGATTAACTTGTAGTGTGACAGTAACAGTGTGCAGTGCTATCTATTTAGTATTTATTTATGACTTATGTTGAACTCTTTAAGGAGGTTAATGGTCATGTTTTTGAGTAAAGTATCTTTAGGGAACAAAATAAGTATACCAGATGATGTCAGGGACACACTGTTATTAGCTGTCATTGAGAGGACTGTCTTTCCACCTCTCTGAAAGTTAATATGATCAGTTTTAAACAAGAAAGCTTTAAAAATATGTATAAATCTTGTTTGGTGGATGTTTAAAGACAGATGTTTAAAAGTTCTGCTTTCATTCTTTGTTAGTTATTGAGAATTTAAAATTGGTGACTTCACTAGAAATGGCGAGTGTATGTGACTTTGTGGCTGAATAAAGTTTAGTACTGGCAGAAATACACAATTTACAAACTCAGTTGAATTTTGTTTTTTTTCTGAATAGTAACATGCATATTTGGAAGTTTTTTTGTATGCTATAGTCTAAATTTGTCAAATTTGTCAGTTACTAGATTAAGCTGTGAAGCCTTGAAGATTAGTTTAGCATTCTGGAAATCCTTTTTATTGTTTGCCAGAAAAGTACTGGAGGAGGAAGGTGTTATTTCTTCGTTTAATATTCAATTAGTAGCACAGATGGTGAGAAGGAATATAGTGTACAAGTATTATAGAATCTTCTTTATTGGTGTGGAAGTACAGTACCTCGGAGCAATATAATTGATTTCTTTTCTTTTGCGTGATCAGTAAGTATTTCAAACAGGATGGGAAACAAGACTGGAAGTTTATTACAGTCTCCATTTCATTAGAGGCATTTTCCCCCACATTCATTATTCATTTCATTATTCCCAAGTAGAAACACTGGAAGAGAGGTGCAGTATTTGAAGAAATTGGTGGAAACAGAATGAAAATTAGGTACTGTGAATTATCTTGAGGGGAAGATATTAATTTGGAAGAGTTACTGTGTTTGTATCTTTTAACAAGGTTATACAGATGAGTAGAAAGAAAAAAGGATCCAGTAGGGAAGTGTTTATTGTCTGTTATGTGCCAGACAATGTAAGGGGGCTTTTCATGTTATCCTACATAGTCACCAAGTACACTTTGGGAGGTAGGTGTTATTAATCCCCTACTTGCCCTTCCCTCCCCCAGGTGGGGACAAAGAGAAATTAAATAACATGTCTAGGATCATACTGCTAATAAGTAGAATTCAAACTAAGTCTGTCTGACTCTGAAGCTTATTCTTTAGATCATGCTGCCCAATTAAACTTTCTGCAATGATGGAAATACTCTTCTTCTGCTCTGTCGGATATGGTAGCCATTAGCCATGTGTTGCACGGAGCACTGGAAATGTGGCTGTCATGCCTGAGGAACTGATTTAAATTGTGTTCAATTTTAATCAGTTTAAATTTAAATAAGCAGATGTTGCTAGTAGCTATAATATTGGACAGTGCAACTTTAGATCTTGCTGCCTAGAAAATCTGAGTTTTGATATTCAATCTTCCACTAGCTTATATATGACATTAGGCAAGTTACTTAGTTCTTGAGCCTGTTCCTTGTGAAAATGAAGAAGAGGTTGTCACTAAAAGATTATCTCCAGTGTCTCTTGCTCTGAAGCTCTATGATTCTTATTAAAATGTACAGTGGCATTTAATATTTGCAAGCATTATATCTTAAAGCACTCCCCTCCCCATATACTCACTTCTTATATAAAGATTTTTGTTTGTTTAGTCAGCTTCTCTTTTTGAAAGGATTACATATAAAGCACACATAAAAGATAGTGGATTATTTTCTCTCCAATTGTTTGGCAAAAACATTGTGTAACCAAAGACAGTACTTTACCTTGGACCAGAGTTTGAATCTTTAAAGATCTTATTTCAGCGTGCCACAGCCCATTTGAGAATATGTTAGAGTTCCCTGTTGCTTGTCAAATTAATTCCAAACTTGTTTGCTTGGCCTTAAAGGCTTTCCACCAGCTTCATCTCACTAACCTTGTTTCTCATTCTTGCTTAAAAAGAAAACATTCTTTTTTTCCCCTCTGCCCTTGCTTCTTCAGTTAAACATTCCTGTCTCCAATCCATGTGCCTCCTCTTTAAGTCTTCCACAAAATTCACCTTTTTCTGGAAGAATGTTACTTAATCCAGTCATAATGACCCACTTTTGAATCCTGGTAATAAGTACTTTGGGGTTAATTTATGATTGTTTAGCTATAGTTAATTGAGTACATCCTTCTTAAGTTTTTATATGTTACTTACTCTGTGTCCTTAATGAAAATGTAAAAAAAAAATTACAAGTGGGGATTGTTTCTTTTGAGTATTGTCTTATGAGTTTAGTTTATTGCTCAGCAATTCTGCTTTAGTAAGTTACTAGTTAAAAAAGATTATCAATACTGTAATAGCATTCACCCTTAATCACCACTCTAATAGATATTTTTGTTTCCTTCCAGGCAGTTGTCCATATTTTTTAAAAATAAAGTTGTATGATAAAAGATAACAATTTTGAGTTTACTGCATTGGAAACATTGTGTAGTAGAGGAAGTGCAATGTAGGGAAAAGATGACAAGATTTTGGAGTCAGATAGATCTGGATTGGAATCTGGTTTCAAAAACCTTGGGCAGGAGGAGGATATAGTTTAAGTGGTAGAGTGCATGCTTAATATGCACAAGGTCCTGGATTCAATCCCCAGTACCTCCTCTAAAAACAAACAAACAAACAAACAAACAAACAAACAAACAAAACCTTGGGCAAACTATGTATCCCCTATGCTCATTTTCTTTATGAAATTAGGATAATTTCATATTTTCTTGTCTATGAAATTAGGATAATGTGAGGATTAGGATTTTCTATATCTATATAGCATCTAGCATTATTCTTTAAAAAGATGAGATGGTCAATAAATGGTAACTGGTATCGTTTTTCCTGTCTTCTTATTGTCATGAATATAATTTAAACAACTGCTTAG